GATACGGGAGGATTCGATGGTTTAAACAAGGGATGAAGGCAGGAGGTCGTAGAAACGATTCGGATAATGCACGCGGGGAATGAAACACAACGCATGGCAGGCAACATATCCAACGTAAATCATAAAGCTTCTTGTAAAAAAAAAAAAAAAAACGCGGGGAATAGCAAATAGGAAAGATGATTGTAAAAACACAATATAGGTCCGGGAGGACTAGAGAGTAGGAGGGCTGCACGCAGAGGAAACGTGCATGCTCAAAAAAAAAAAAAACATAAAACACCTTCCTGTAGTTAAAAAAAAAAAAGAAAAACTTCCGGTGATGTAGAAATAAATATTAACGCGAGAAGAAATGAAATAAAGGAAAAAAAAACTACGCCATCAATTGAATTTGTTTTTAATAGACAAAAGCGCGAAATCGGCGAGCTTCTAGAAGAGATAAGAGATATCAAGTACGAACTTCAAGTAATAGACTATGAAAGACATAGAGGGGCTATTGTGCGTGCTCTATCTCAGGCATTATGGATGGCCGAGAGGTCTAGGAAGCGGGAGCTGAGCGACAAGAAATGGTATGCACTGCAAACGAGAGAAGAGAAATAAACTACCGAAACACGTCAATTCGCGATTAGAACATAATCGACCGAGCGTTCGTTGAATATTACAACGGTTTGATGTGTCACAGCGTACCAAAAAATGACGGTTTCGACGCCGAGTTTTTGTTTTTCATGCCCACTTTGAAGAGCAGGTTTGAGAAGGTATAGAATTGCCTATAAGCATTCGCGAGCTTGAAGGCGCCATAGACAAATTAGCTGCGGGTAAAAACGCCTGGCCCGATGGTCTGTGCGGAATTATATAGAACGTTCAAGGGGGAGACAGCGGACGCGTCGTACCATGTGCTACATGAAGCGCATTGCGTACTTCAGTTACTGCCATTCTTTTTCAAAAGCCATACTCTCCTAATTCCGAAGGTTGATGGCCCTGTAAATCTAGTGTCTGTTTCCAGTTACAATCTAGGGGTTAGAAAAAAGGCCAGCAATTTATTTTTTCCGAAGTCAAAGAGGTACACTGACATTCTCTTCGTTCATTGTACTAGGTGGAAGTTTTCTCGGTCCGTGGCTGGAGGAAGGCACGTGACAACCCGGTCGCGTTGCTTGAAGTTTTACAAAGAAATAGCAGCGGCGAAGGTGTTTCTCCAATCTCGCCTTTCAAAGGAATGCATAAAAAAGGTTAAAAAAAACAAAAAAAACTTTATATTGGAACACTCTGGACCTAATAATGTCGCCATTGCACTACCCTAATTTTTTAGGGTAGTACCGTTGTTAACGATGTGTTCCATCGCTTAGGAAAAAACCTTCCTGTTAGGAGAGCAAGCAAACATATTTTCTTGAGTATCACTTAGAAGAACTGCAGGTTGAAACGTGGCTTGTAACAAAAAGGGGTTCATGAGCCGTGGTCTCCAAACCGTGTGCTGTGCCCCACGCTAGAAACGCTATAGCATGTGTTTTTATACAGTACACACGCGGAGCGTTTTAGGGCTGAATTGCGAGCAGTGCCGCACATCGATCGCTACTTGGAGTGGAAGACAGCATAGTTTTTGCAGTTCGGTGACAGAGCTTGGAGGGACACTGTTGGCTCTACTCGGTCTACATTCAATTTGGCGATCTAGCACGGACCACTTAGAGGTCATAGTAGGAGCCCAGCCCGCGTGGCAAAACTTCTGTGACGAATTCATATGTGTGAACTCACTGTTAGAAGCGACGTAGGAGCAAGGGTTAAAATCTTGGCCTCAGTCTTCTTTGAGGTCTTTTGAGACTTCCGTTTTACTATACTGCCAACACAAACTAGAATGAATTTTTAGATGGATATCTAAAAACTGCATGCAGTCATTTACAGGTCTTTCTACTGAGAATTGTAGCTCTGGCGCACTTGCATACACGAAGTCCTCTACCAACGCTGACAACGAGGAATCGGTAGTGCAAACGAGGATATCGTGTACATAACGCCGTGACAGGATGACACTTGGAGACCGACTTTGAATGAGACCAATTAGACGCACACCCAAAATGCTATGGTTAGTCTCCGAGAGGACCAGAGCCACGGCCGAACAAATACGTATTCCTTGTTTTTGAATTAAATCTTGATCATTATACTTTACCACCGTTGGATGGAGGTACAAATCTAAAATCCCAAGGCAAACCGGTACCGAAATTCCAGACTGTGATTAAAACCAGACGAGGATCTTTTCCAAAAGATTACTTACTCTGTTGAGGAGAGCTTTGGGATCTAGCGAATTAGAAAGGTCCTTTACATCCATCGAAAACACCGAACAAGGTTTTCCATGAAAGGGCTGCAACTCCGTAACCAAATCATTTGAACAACGTAGTGACAATGAATTTCTAGCTTCCAAGACCGACAAAGCACTCTGAAGGAAGGAAGAGTTTAACTTTCGCTCTGGCTATTTTTAGTCACGGGAATACAGTAAATAAGCCGACTTTTAATTTAGACACGTAGTTTAAAAGATTTCGACAAATTTTATTGCTTGGAGGTCACCTTTATATCGGCGTAGAATGTTTGTTCGGGTTTGAGTTTCACCGCTGCACCTTTTGTCTAGGGTTGACAAATGTCGGGGGTTCGCCTTTGTGCTTAATGGGGTTTTCCTCTAACGGGTCACCATCAAGCAGTCCTGTCTTTTGAGATGTGTATCAGGACCTCAGAAAGGTGAGATAAGGAATTTCCCCCCCCCCCCTCCTTCTGTTTGCACTAGCACAGTACCATTGCTCTCTTCGTCAATGTCCTCCCTCTCTTGTAAGTTCGGTAACAAGAGGTGCAACCTCTTCCATTTTTCTTCCTACGGTTCTTGGGTCGACTTTTACCCTAGGAAACCACGATATTCTGTCCAATAAATTTCAGCTGTGTTTGAGACTTTATGTTGTGTTGTCCGTCCTGCCCCGAGTCTCGGCGTTTTGTCGAAAATGTCAGTACATATGTTTGTTGTTACAGTAGCCGTCATCAATACACCTGGAACACACCCTTTTTCCAAACAACTTGCGGAGGTCATTCAATTTTGTATTACTTGCACGCACGTTTAAATAAAATATTACGTGCTAATATCGTTCCGAAAATATTCACAAAAAGTTTTTGATATTATATTTTATTACTATGGAATCTTTCTAATATTTGAATGCTTGATTTTTATGTGTGGTGCCTGTCTTTGTGTTTTCCTAGTATATGTGCTTCGGTATAGGTTATCGCGTGTTTCTGTGGTGGCACCTGTATTGACAAGTGACGGGAGACCGAGAGCCTCGTGAAGCTGCATCGTGCTACTTGTTCTCCTGTTCCCTTCACTTCTCCGGAGCGAAAAAAAAAACAAAAATACATTATTATGATAAGGATCGAAAGTCCACAATTCGGTGCTCCTTCAACGTGCCTGCGACTGGTGTGTTTAGCGTCCCATTCCGCCCATACGTCGAAAGGAATTTCGAAGTGGAAACAAATGACGCCACAAAAGTCTGGGGTTCGTGGTGTCTTATGTTGCGATCCTGGTTGTTGGTCGTAGAAGTTCCGGCAAAAAGCACAAGCACACGCGAGTATCGCTGTCATCAAAGCATCTCAAACCTTGACTGCCGGAGTTTCCATGGGCTGCGAAATTTGAGAGTGACCTGCAGCGAGTCACTTCCACTAGCACTTCCTTGAAACCGCCAGGATCGCGGCATGCTACAGCATGACACTTCTATAATGTTATCCGGGGAAAAACAACAACCAATATTTTGCCAATTTTTTTCGGCATTCATTTCCCCAGAATAGCGTGAAATAAATATAAATTCGCATTTTGTGTTCAGGAACAGTTTCTTTTTCTAGGCGCGGTAAACATACCAATTGGAGACGTACTCGGGACACTGTATCCGCACGTCATGGAGGAAGGGGCAGGGGAGACGAGATACTTGCCCTCTTTTTTTTCAAATGAGCAAAGTGCGCAAAAGGGGCCAGTCTCAGGCAGTGCACCTGCAGCTGCACTTAGTACCACCTTAAAACACGCACGAAACACAGAGTTGCGATCTGCGTCGGGTTCCAACTGCCGTGGAAGTAGGCGGAGAAACACACAAAACCCTGAAAACATAACTTTCCCTTTGGACTGTCTTGACTTCAGTTCGTTCCCCACTTTGCGAATATAAGCTGCTCGCCCTTCATGCTCTCTCTTTTTACGTGCGTATTATTTGTTGATAAGCAAACCTGCAACCGAAGTTTTAACGTAATTTGTAATTTGAATAAAAGCTACGCAGAAAACCTATGTAAAGTAAACTAGTATTTATAGAATTAAAAATGCGATTGCAATTACTCAATTATTCAGAGAGGTAGATAAACTACGGAAACTTAAGTAGAGAAGTTCAATTAAGTACAAGTCTGTCGTCGGTTGAATAAAATGCTACAGCCACGATCTTTCCTATCTATGACAATATTGGTGTAATACTGTGTGCTGCTGGCTGATGTGATTCCTTTTAAATTAAACTTACATTGATAATTTTGATGTTTACCTGATGAGGAAACCATCCATCAGCTTTAATCTTCAAGCAACGTAAAATTTAGCTCTAAGTACCTTGTTGTGCATATTTAGGTTATTTTTCGAGTACAACAGAGCTTTAGATTAACAGATGCTGAAGATCCTGTTTGGTAAGAGAGATGCACCACTAATGTTTGAAGAGGAAATTTTATTGATTTCCTAAACTTTAACTAAACGCAAGACATTACCCTTAATCGAAATCTGTACTTGGAAGGAGCTGTGGCATTAAAAATGAAACCTGATCCTACAGTGCAGTGCTCTCCTGATGCCCTTACGCATCCATCTAAATATTATATTAATATTTTTTTCTTTCGCGATTATAAATTTAAAGCAAAATCCATGTGTCTTTTATAATTCTATTGACTTAATCGTTGGCCTATTTTTCGGGAGTACTGACTTTGTCTGTCCCTTCTGCATGCAGAAAACAGAGCAACACCCACAAAATTATATGGTGAGCACAAGAAGTGTCCTGCGTCTCCTCCACACCCTCATTAAAGCAACCGGCGCCAAGCGATTTCTTGACATCGGTGAGTAATATTTTTTACGAGTCAATCTGCGCTCACCAGTTGCCGAACTCTGAATGAGGGTTGATCATCCCATCTATCTCCGCAACCATTCCTGTTAGGATTCCTCCTTTCCTCTATTCACTTCAGCCTCGTTTGTGTGCCCACTTTATGTATCTACAAGACGCTTCGTGAGGTTGATTGGCTTAAATTGGTTAAACCACACTGCGTACAGATTATAAAGTGGTTGCTTTAATATTACACCAAATATGCAGTTACTACCCTTGCTACCTTACTACCCGTCTCATGCCTGACTGACATTTTTGTTAACGTCTCCGGAAAAATAAAGAAATTTGTAATATCTTTAGTTCTCAAATAACAAGCAAGAATCTTAATCTAGGCTCTCGTTTTGTGGTTTTGTTCCTTACGATTATTCTAAAACCTAAATCATACAATTTTCCCCTCTGTCGCAGACATTCCCTAGGATATTTAGACTTAAAGTTACTAAAAGGCATCATTGCCCTTCCATCATTTTGGAAGTATTCTTACAACTTGATATTTCCTTGCCATCACTTGATATTGCTTGATGACGGAGACACCTAAAATGGTGCATTACCTCGAAGCGAACGACTGTTTAGGGGCTGCAAAAGTGATTCATCTTCTAGTTTAACTGCGACCGGTTGGTGCCAGTTGTGATGGAAAATAATCATTGTTTTAAAGTTTCAGTGTGAGTGCTGCACCTAGTATTTACATATATTGTAGCGGTCCTGCTGAGGCGCGGGCCAGAACCCAGAGTGGACGACGACGAAGCGCGCGCACAGTCTGCCCGGGGCCGACGTAAAAGCCGTTCTAATCCGGCAGTGAACATCATCTAGGAAATTCATCTTCGTAACATTGGGTGTCAGGAGTTGAATTTCCGGCTAGCCGCCTCATGTTACCCGTAAAGCTTCCTCTTGGGTGGAACATCCTCTGCAACATGGTCAGCACCGGCGTCTCATGAAGCCAAGGGATCGCGGCTCGATTCCCTGAAGGCGTAAATCCTTGCGCCGGAGTCCCCATAGGCAAGTTACCACTTCGCTCTGTTTCCCATGACTCTTCTATTTGCGAAATGAAGATCCTGCTTTGTCTCAAGTTCACATTTGCATCTGATAGCTTTAAACCATTCAGACACCTAAGTGTGCGCTGGGGCTTGAATGCTTTTCTGACCGTTGATGTGGCCATTCGGCGGATGAGGTCACGAGCAGCAGTATTAAGAAAACGTTCTATCTCCTTCTGGATTTTGGCCTTACCGGCGCGTTTCATTTTCGGTGTTGATTTTCAAAATCCGCAAATGTGTTGTGGCATTTTGCACCAATATGATGTGTGCCGCCATCAGACTTCTGATCAGACATGTCATCATGGGTGACTACACCGGAAGCTAGCGGCTGCCAGGTGAAAGGACTCCACGCATCAACCGAAGAAGGTGACCTTTCCAAAAAAACGCTCCTAGGCCGCCGCCATGTTGCTGATGCTGATGCGGCTGGTGCGACTCTCGCGCCCTCTATCAGCTAGAAATTTTCTGCCACTCTCTCGGACTGTGAAGACCCGCTCAGCGCGGTTCTCTACCTAAGTTTTTGCGGTTTTGCGTTCGACGTTTCCTCGCCCCTCTTGAAAGTTTCCACTTAATTTTTTTATGCGTGGTGCGTACCCTTTTTGTGTTATATTCCATTGTGAGAATTAAGACCGGTAAGTGCCTGCCATTAAAGCTTTTCTGCTCGACATTCACGGGAAACGAAGGAGGTGAAGGACTTCGAACGACCCAGTGATAATCCTTGTAGAATCCTCAGCCATCTCCAAAAATAGTTGTGCGGGATGGGGTGAGAAACGGATCAGTCGCGTTCATTCCTTTGCCTTGGTGCGGTTGTGTAAAAAGGAAGCTCTACCCAAAACGTGCCCCAAAACGAAGTCATCTCGGATTCCGTCCAATCATAAAGATGTGACTGTCGTCAACTGTGACTGTGTTATCTGAGATCTTTCTCAAATAAATTATTTTCGGATAACGCTGCATCGTGTGGTACGTACAATATACTGTTCGAATGTTCTTGTCCATCGGTAAACACGTAATTTGTGAGCGTGAAAAAAGTAGGCCTTTCGGCCCTCTTCTGTTGCAATTTATTTTTGGCAGCAAAGCGCTTTGTCGTTTCACATGCGGCAAAACCCGCGGCGCCGTCAAAACTTATCGTAAGAAAAAAAAAAAAAAAAAAACTGGAACTATACATTCCAGTCGCATTCGCTCTGTCACGCGCGTACCCAACAAAAAAAGTTTACAGTTTTTTTTTTGTTTGTTTTTTTCTTTACTTTTTTGTTCTTTATAAATGTGGCACAATGCTTTCTCAATGTCCTCGGGAAAATACGTGTACCATGAACACACAAAATATAGCAGGAAAAAACGAGAATTTAGCCACCAGCAGCGTTTGAAACTGCGCCTATTGAAATCACACTCCACTCGGTTAGGGTTAGGAGGGACGCCGGTGAGAGTCTAGCCTCAAACTCAGTCCCTGGGCTCGAAAACGGTTTGTTGCCCCTGGGGTCGAGTGCGTTTCTGAAAGGTGTATAAGACTGGACCCAAACAATCTGCGTGTGGTGTCGTAATTCTCTACCACACAAACCACCAATCACTTACGGATATATGTAGATTTATGCACCTACATCCGAAAATTTATTTTGGGATTTTCGGATATTGCTGGCCCTCTCGATCCCCTCAATCACCTACTAGGGAATGCCATCTCTTTCACATTAAGTCTAAACCAAAAAACCTCCTTTGATCGCCTTAAGACGGCCTTCACCTGGGTTTTCGTTCTTGGCGACTTCTGCGGAGGTCACGACACCGAGACCCGAACTGACGCCATTGGCAATGGAATAGGCGCTGTTTTCGCGCAAGTTCACAACGGCCAGCAGCCTGTCTTCGCATACGCCAGTTGACCCATAACTAAAGCTGAACACAAATTTCCCACCACTTAGAAATAATGCTTAGCCGTCATCTCGGCTGTGTCTAAGTTTCGCCATCCCTTATATAGGTCCCCATTCCTTACTGTAACCGTCCACCACGCCGTTTAATGGTTTGCTAGCTTAAAAAGGCCCTTCGGTACGCCTCGATCGCTGGTCATTAAAGCTTCAGGACTACCTGTTGGGTCCTCTACCAATCAGGGATGCGGCACCACGATGCCGACAGCTTAGTTCGATGTCCGCTTCCAAACGATGCGACCCTTCCTACTCACGCACAAGGGCCAGATAACAGAGCAACACTGGGCAATATCGATATGGCTTCAGCGCAACTCTGGAACGATTCCCTGAAACAAGTGATTTATTACTTGCAAGACCAACGGAACTCGTGCACTAAACACACTAAATGACGCGCCTGTCTTTAAGTCTTCGTAATGACGCCCTTTATAGACGGAACTACGAGACCCCAGTGCGAGCATGGATAACTGTGGTTCTACGACACCAACAAAAAAAGTAAATAAGAGCACCAAATCACGACGACACCACAGCCCAGAATTTTGAATTTCCTAAAACTTAATTCAGAATACATGAAAAACCTTTTTGGACGGGAATGCACCTTAATATAATAAATATGTGCGCGCAAGACATTTACGTCAGAAACAAAGCGACCCACCGCCGGAGGGCTCCTTGGCCGGAGGGCACCTTGGCCCCTCCGGCCAATTTCTTTACCGAGCCGCCAATATCAGCGCATAGGAATCGACTTCCTCGGTCCATTCCCACAGTCACAAGAAGAGTCGATGGATAATTGTACCTATCGACTACCAAGCCCAGTGCGCCAAAACACAAGCGTTCCCCGCCTCCACAGCTCTTCATTAATCCCATTGTGTTCTTCATTCCGCCCTCCTCCGGCATAGTGCCCTCCAACCCATAATCACAGACCGCGGAACACCGTTTGTAACAAGCCTACTTCAAGAAGTCTGCTTCCTTGCAAGCACAATTCATCGCGTCACCACTCCATATCTTCCGCAAACAAATAACTGGGTGGATCAGTTCAACCACACTCCGACCGACATGATCTCCCTGTATATCACAGATGATCATAAAAACTTGGATTTAATTTTTCCATAAGTTACGTACGCCTATATTACCAGCTGTCAAGCCACCGCCCGGTTATTATCCGTATCACTTCTAGTATGCACGCGAGCAGTTGTCCACCATCAACATCCTTCTGCAATACATAGACGACTCTTCTTTGGATGCTTACATCCAAGCCATAGTCTAGAGCTCGGAAGAAGTTCGGCAACTTTCCCGTATTTGAACACTATATTCACAGCAGTAACAAGTTATTTGTCACGCCGAGCACCACACTCCGGTTTCCTAAAACATCGGTGACGTGATTCTTCACTGAACATCCTCTCACAAGCCCGGATAATGCGAAAAGTTCCGAAAACAATTCAAAGACCACTTTAGCATCTTTCACGGGCTGCCCCCGATGAACTGTGACCAGTCTTGTACACGTTACTAAAAAAAAGTAATCGATTACAATTACTATTACTCTTGGCTAAAAAGTATTCGATTAGATTACTTGATTACTCGACGGTAAAAGTAATTGGACATTACTTAAAGAAGTAATCGTTACTTTTCCGATTACTTTATTGTGTGAAGACACATCTTTAGCGCTCATAACAATGAACTACTTCCAACCTATATTTCACATTTGCACAAGTATTGAAGAAGAAACACTGGCTCCCTATTCCTAATCGTTGCACCTTCACAATGCGGACACAAGCATAGAATTCGTTTGAAGACGTTTAATGATTTGGGCGTTCGCCAGTTGTGTGTGTGTGTGGGGGGGGGGGGGGGGGGGGGGCAGAGGGGGTTCTAGATCTTGTTAAGTTTGAGCAAGGGTTGTCGCTCAAAGTTTGCGTCGCTCATTTTATTATTCACATGTGGATGAGCTCGCATGTTATACAAAAGAGCAGTAGCTCCAGGATTTGAAACGGATCATGTGTAGTATCCATTAGCGGAAGAGATCGCCCAAC